CCGTTCAGAAGTAGATCATCAGGCCCTTATTTCAAGGCAGCTCTGGGTGGATTTGAACCATCAGCCTTTTGGTTGGTATTTGAGCACTTAATCATTTGTACCACCAGAGAGACTCCAAAACAGTTGCTGTTGAGTCAGTTCTAACTCAAGTTGCTGTTGGTGGTGTTAGGTGCTATCAAGTCGGTTCCAACTCACAGCGACCCTGTGTACAACAGAACAAAATACTGCCTGGTCCTGCGCCATCCTCACAATCTTTGCTATGCTTGAGCCCATTTTTTGCAGCCACTGTGTCAACCCATCTCGTTGAACATCCTCTTTTTTGCTGACCCCTACTTTACCAAAATGATGTCCTTCTCTAGGGACTGGTATCTCCTCTCAATTTTTCTCCATTAAGGATAATGTTGGCTGTTGGCCTTTCAGATATGCCCTGAATCATACTGAGCACCCCCCTTCAATTCCAACCTTCCTGAGGGTTTTCATCAAGAAAGGGTGCTGGATTTTTATCAAATGCTTTTTCTGCAGCCTCACAGATGGTCACATGGTACTTTTCCTTTGTTATGTTGATGTGGTGTATTAAGAATACATTGATTAATTTTTTGATGCTGAACCATCCTTACATTCCCGGAATAAATTCCACTTGGTCATGGTGTACGACTCTTTTAATATGCTGTTGGATTCTGTTCCCTAGTATTTTGTCATGGATTTTTGCATCTATATTCATAAGGGATATTAGCCTATAGTATTCTTTGTGATTCAATAATATATGTGCCTATTCATGAATGTATTAAGTAACAAGATATAGCAACCCGTCTAATAACTACTATAATTTTGACGTAGTAAGGAGAATAAATTGTATTTCAAGAATGTGCATCTGTAATGTGCTATGAAAACATTTGTGGCTTTTTTGTGGCAAAGTAATAGGTTCTGCTAATAGTACTGCAGTTTGTTGCCTACAATCAAATAGAAAGAAATGCTAAATTTCAGTTAGAGGTTAGTGAAGATAAAGATGTATTTTTTTCCCCTTGCAAGTTCATGGATCCCTGAATTCTATGGGGGTTGGTGGACCATGAACTCCAAGTTAAACTAGACCCGCAGCAGTTAGCTAGAATGAGGGAGATCTGTATGTGTTGACATGGAAAAATCTTCAAGACATATTACAGAGTGAAAAAAGGAAATTGTTGAACAATTCATGTGGTATAACACTACTTCTGTTTTAAAAATTCACACATGAAAAAGTAGTTCAATGGAGAAACACACCCTTTTCAACCAATGTAGCTGGAGCAATTGAACAGCCATAAGCCAAAAAAAAAAAAAAAAAAGACCTAACCCTCACACCTTATGCAAAAATTTACTCAAAATGGATCAGAATTTAAATGTAAAACAGAACTATAAAACTTTTTTAAACATCATGAGAAAATTTTCAGGATCTAAATCTAGGCAAAAAGTTTGTTTACTTGACACCAAAAACACGATCCATAAAATGAAAAATAGACATACTGGACTTGATCAAAACCTTTGCTTCGTGAAAGACCATATTAAGAGGATGGAAAGATGAGCTACAGTTGGGAGAAAGTGTTTGCAAACTAAATATCTGACAAAGGATTAGTATCTAGCATATATAAAGAACTCTCAAAACTTAACAGTATAACCATCAAATAATCCATTTAGAAAACGGGCAAAGGACGTGGAAAACATTTCATCAAAGAGGATTATAGATGACAATGAGCACAGGAAAAGATGTTCACCGTCATTAGCCATTAAAGAGATGCAGACTAAAACTACAATGAGATATTGCTGCACATCCATCAGAATGACTAAACCAAAGAACAGTGACAGCACCAATGCTGGTGAGGATGGGGAAAAATGGAGTCACTCATACATTGCTGGTGGGAATGTAAAATGGTATGGCTACTCTGAAAATTAGGTGGGCAGTTTCTTGAGAAGCTAAACATGTAACTACCATACAATCCAGCAATTGCATTTAAGTGCATTTATCCCAGAGAAATGAAGGCTTGGGTCACAAAAGTTCACAAAACTTGCAATGTATCACACCAGCAATGTCTCCAGTTTCTCTGTATTCAATTTCATTTTTGAGTCATAATCACAAATATGTCCTTCCGGGATTTTTTTGTTTCTTAAATTCCTTGAAGTCATTTGGTAATAGCGTAGGTGTCTCGAACAGATCACAAGAAACCTTTCTATTAGGAAGATATTCAAAGTATTTTTTATTTATTATTATTGTGTGTAACTCTTCAGCTCAAAAACCTGGATTCTGTCACTTAGAGTTGATTCGCTGATGGTTAATAATTTGCATCTGTTACTTTTCTGTGACCACAGCACTTCACTCTTCTGCCATCCCTAATTTCACTTCTAGATTTTCAGTCTTGGAAGACATGTGGTTTTATTTCAGTTACATGGTGTATATCAGTTAGGACACTATGGGTTTCAAATAACCAAAACCCAACTCAAGCTGGCTTGAGCAATGGAGAATTTATTGGCTCACAAAACTGAGACGTCCAGAGTTAGAGGTGAAGTTTCAGGTAGAGTTTGATCCAGTGGTTTAAGACATCATGAGCCTCTCAGTTTCTTTTGACCTTACAGATATCCCTTTCACTGGTGTGAAGCCATTTATCCTTATATTTCTAAAATGGGGCTAGCAGCTCCCCAAGCTTTATGCTTCATTCTTGTGCACTAGTAAGAAGAGATTATCTCTTTCTTAGAATACCAAGGACTAAGATTCATTGTAATCAGACTGGCTTAGGTCCCATGCTCACCCTGAGCCCAAGCGCTGTGGCCAGGGAGATAAACTGAAGTAAATGGCTGCAGCCAGGCGACGTACCCATCCAGGGACTGGGGGCCAGGTTATCTTCTCAGAACTATTTAGATCCCCAACTGAAATGGGGGATGCTGGGAAAGGTTGGGGAGAGGTAAGGAAAGCTTGGAAAGTAACTACGATGTCCTCTCCATGGAGACTTATTGGGGTCTCTTCTAATGTTTCAGCAGAATTTCATGGTTCCTCTGAGTTCTTACAGTTCAGCCATTTTAGCGTTTCTTAAAATCCCTATGCCTTTGAACAAGAAAAATACACACTGAAAAGACATCAAATAAGTTTATCATATCAATGCAAGAGAAGACATAAGACCAAAAACCAAACCCATTGCAGTTGAGTGTATTCCGACTCATGGCGACCCCAAAGTGTTACGAGGTAGCCATAGGGTTTTCTTGGCTGTAATCTTGACGGAAGCAGATCTACAGGTCTTTCTTCTATGGTGCTGCTGGGTGGGTTCAAACCGCTAACCTTTAGGTTAGTGGTCCTGCACAAACTGTTAATCCTGTAAAACAGTCACAGTTGTTGTTGGATGCTGTTGTATTGATTCTGACTCATCTGACACCATGTAACAGAGTAGAACTGCCCCATAGGGTTTTCTTGGCTGCAATGTTTAATGAAGCAGGCCATCAGGTCCTTCTCCCTTAGAGCCGATGGGTGGGTTGGAACCACCAGCCTTTTGGATAGCAGCCTAGCACTTAACCAATGCTCCACCAAGGCTCCTTTACCTCTACTTACAAGTAATTACGAAGATTTATTAATGAACTTAATTATATTTATTAAAAGTGATAGCATGTGGGAAGCTCGGTTGGTCATGCCCAAAACACACCTGAGCTATTTTGCACGTGGGTAAAGCCACCTGCCATGGAGTCAGCTCCAACTCATGGTGACCCCCTGGGTGTCAGAGTACGACTGTGCTCCATAGCTGATTTCTCAGTAGCTGATTTTTCAGAAGTAGATTGCCATGACTTTTTGCTTAGATGCCTTGGGGTGGACTTAATCCTCCAACCTTCCTGTTAACAGCTGAACTTGTTAACCGCTTGCATCACCCAGATCAGTCAATAGAGGTGAGAGCGGAGCATCACTGAAAATAATGTGGACAGCCTGAGATCAAATCCCAACTGCCCCACTGCAATCTGTGTGAGCTTCTGTTGGATTCATAATCTCTCTGGGCCTCAGTTTCCTCATCTACAAACCACAGCCAATAGTAGGACCTACCTGAAAATGTTCCTGGGGAAAATAAAGCAGGAAATATGCCAAAGAGCTTAGAATGGGTCCCAGCACACAGGAAGTGCTCACTATACATTAGCTGTGATTATTATCAGGAGCTGAGAAAAACATGTCTGTACTGCCAATTTCCACAGCAAACTAACAATCCTATATAATTAGCAAAGGATTGTAATAAATACAGCGGTTAAAACATGGCAGCCGGACAGTTCCTCAGGGAGGAGGCTTCGGATGAACCACAGAGAGAAGGGAAGGGAGGACATCCAGGGCAAAGAAAGAATGACACAGAGACAAGGACAGACAGACAGCAATGGGATGACAAGACAGAGGTTATGAGAGGAGAGAGCGCTAGAAACGCAGGCCAACGCCCCAAGGGCAGGCACTTGTGTGGGAACCACTGCCAGCAGTAGCTCCTAGCGCGCAGGAGGGAGACGGACACGGAGAGAAAGACAGACAGATGTCCAGGAGAGACGCGGGCATTTGGCTCAGGAGAGGCCCGGGGCAGAGCCATCCCTGGCACAGGCCCAGAGGCCGCTAAAGTCCTTTCGCCCAGCAGGGATCCCACGCGGCCGCGGGCCAGCGCTGGTGTTGGGAAAGTTGACCCGGACGGGAAAGCCCGGCTGCTCCTCCGCCACACACACAAAAGCCGCCACGGAGGGTCCAGGCACCGCTGCCGAAGGTGGACGCCGCTCCCGAGACCAGCCGGCGGGCAGTGGAGGGCGGGCCCGGCTGCAGCCCCAGGCAGCGAGGGTGCCCTGCAGGTGAGGAGCAGGGGAGAGATGCTTAGGGTACGAGGGGTCCCAGCCACCCCATTTGTCCCCTGTGCGTGCTCCCGGCCAGCGCTCCCAGCAGCAGTCCTGATGGGAGTCTAACCAGAGGGAGCGGGCTGGACTCGCGGGCCCTTCCCCTTGGCCTCCCTGACGTCCCTCCTTCTGCAGGAGCAGAGATGGGCCGGAGCGTCCGAGCCGCGGTGGCCATGGGTCTGTGGGTCTTGGTGACAGTTGGCATGGCGGCGGACCTGCTTGTGCTGGAGCCCCGACGCTGCCTCCTGTCACACTATCGCTCGCTGGACTCCAGGGCGCTGGCGGCGGCCAAGGCGCTGAGGGACAGTTAGGTGAGGCCTATGTCCCTCTCCCTCCCCCAGAAGCCAGACCCTTGAGGTTCGCTGGACGTCCCTTCCTGTTCTGAGAGATTCTTGCGTCCCAGCGCCCAGCAGACGCATTTCACCTCTCAGGGTCCAGAATTCTGACTAGGAGACCTTCCCGCCGCCCCCGCCATCAGCCCACTCACAGCCTTTGCCCCAAGCCCCAAAAGGGCCCCCTGGAAGGACTTGGCCTTGGGGCGGGGCGCGGGGACCGGCGGGGTAGTTCTGGGTGCGGCTCAGCCTCCTTCCCGCCCGCGGAGGGCTCCCGGGGCCCTGCACAGTAAGCACCGCGGTCGGCGGCCGGTCCCGCCGCACGTCCAGGAGACAGACGTCGCAGCGCTCCAGCGGCCCAGCCTCACCAGGCCCTTGTCCCACAGGAGGAAGAGACGCTGAGCTGGAGGCCCCGCAACTGCTCCTTCCTTCCCCGGAGGGCGCCGCCCAGGCCCGCGGTGAGGACCGGCTCCCTGCGGGGGAGACACGGCCCCGGGTACGGTCCCCTCTCTAACCACCACCCGGTCCCCGCAGTCCTGCGCGCGGTCCGCCCGGTGGCACGTGGCCTCGCGGACGCCCGGGCCGTGCTGAGCA